TGGCGTATTGCGTGTCTCATTGCAAGCCTATGTAGTTAGTATCATAATTCAAAAGCACGATATCACATTTATCTGAACGGACTACTACTGCGAATGAGCTACTGATAACCACTTGCAGTTATACAGATGACCACGCATCTAGCTTTCTTTTAGTATACCGTATACAATTTATCCATACCATAACTGTATGGATAAATTGCATTGCATCCATACCATAGTGCATTGCATCTATGTAACTAAAATTGTAACTAGGCCCTCGCTATTCGATACAGCGCTTCCAAAGGGAGAAGTTCCGTTGTACTTAGCAGAGGCTGGAAAGGCCAAAGGTGGATGATGGGAGCCGAGAGCGTCAATCCTGCCACGCCCTAAACCATCCGTATTCCGTGGTCATTTCTCCGAGGTCCGTGTGAGCGACAGGTTCGGAGAGCGTCATCCTCATTTCGTCGGGAACGGACGGGGGGGGGGGTTATAAGGGTGTCGACTAATAGGTCTCGTTCATTAGTGACCACCAAGGGACGTGGGAAAGGAGTCAGGGAATATGGACAGAGAACGAACACTTCGTCTGACCTCCCGGGGTATGTCTAACAGAGATGAATGTAGCGATAGTCGGGGCGGTCTGTAACAATTACCCCGCTCGACACATTCTGGACCATGTGCAGATGTCTTATCCAAATAAATCCGGGATCGTTTAGCGGTGCGAGTGTCCCTCTTCTCCGATGAAGCCCTTACAGAGACGGAGCTCGACACTCCCTAACCCCCCCCCCCCCCCGTGATGCTCCTCAGACCGCTGATGCAGTCGTAGATACCTACTCCGATAAATCAGGCGGCGGTAGAGCAAATACGCCGATCGCCCTGCTATCGCTCCATCCCTATCCTTACCCTCCCCTCTCCAGGGCCGAACGACACAACGATTCCGTTTACTGCAGCTTGAGGGACTCAACTGGCTTACAGAAACTTCACAGATAACTGTACCCTGACAGATAAACCCAAGGTAGTGTTATGGACGACACACAACGGTTTCCTTCAGTTGCATCACTCGTATTGTGATAACGTGCCATTTAAATATTCAACACTTGAAATGTAGATTCTGTACCATGAAAGATCATAAGACAGCCATCATAAGAAAGCTTTCTTTCATTGGGTGCAAGAAGATGGATCGCACCGTAACATGCGAAACAAAAATATGTCATGCAAAAAGGGCTAATGTCAAAGCTTACATGTAATGTCATTTTAGGGCCAGATGTTTTAAACACCTCTCCTCCCAACTATCAGCGATGGATCAAAATTATTGTTAAATCTTTGCCAATGTCTGATTCTGTAGCGTGTCTAGCATTCTTAAAGGGACTCTCCCACCTTCAAAAAAGTTAATTAATTGGCATAAAAGTGATGTCGCTCGGTTCAGAAAGAGCAAAAACGAATATCTACCAAATATCACCGAAAATTGCACCGGTTTTCAAGATATTACATTTTAACTTTTGTTTAAGTACTTTTTGCGACCCCGCTGTTCCTGAAACGTCATTTGGAAGCAATAATTTGGCATCCTGAAAGTGCGGCAGATGTTGCGCGCAAACAGCATACAGGGTGATCCAAAAAAATTGGAACCCCTAACTCAAAATGTCTATAAGTCAGAAAATTTTCACTTTGTTGATAAATTGCAAACACCATTAGAAACAGCGTTCAATTCTCTATAAACCCAAGTTGATTGTACTTACTTATTATTATAAATATTGCCCTAGACATATGCCTATAAAATTTGTGTCACGAAACTCAGTGAAACGGTTTTGAACATACTATGCGCAAATCAGTGATTGACGGTTTGCTGTTCTGACCATGTCGCTTGTTGGAGGTTCATGAATAAAAATAGCTCATTCACGTGCTATTGTAGGGAAAGAAAAGACTGACGGCCTGCTGGGACCAGTTTCCCGGAGACTGCTGGCCCGCGCAGTCGGAGCTGTCCCCAAGCAATTGCAGGCCTGCGTGACGGCCCCCGGAGCTCGCGTTGAACACATGCTGTGATGAACAGCGGAAGCTAGGACGCGTGTATCTGTTCTACTGTGTGCTTCTGTGTTAATTTTTATGAAATAAAATTGAATTCGGATGTGGTGTTATTCGCAAAAAGACAACAGATAGAGTGCTAACGGATTTCAGCGCATTGTTAACATTTGGCGATTTCGTTTCACTCAGTTTTCTGACGTTCATTCCAAAAGCTAATAGTGTGCCAATGCTTTACAACATACATTCACCAATTTGACGTGATTTTATAGAGGATTAAATGCTCTTTCTAATGGTGTTCGCGATTTGTCAATAAAGTGAATACTTTCGGACTTAGAGACATTTTAAGTTAGGGGTTCCAAATTTTTTGGATCACCCTGTATACCACCAGTATAACGCCTTGTGGGGCGACTAACGGAGCGAGCGAGAGGGTGGGCCTTGCACGTGCGAAATTTCGAGGGGGTACCTCCAACTGACTTGTGCACAGCACCCTACTAACCGGTCTCTAGCGATGTGCCAAATTTGAGCACAATCGGCCCAGCCGTTCTCGAGATCTGGAAGCGGCACCCTGCACGTGCGCACGTGCAAAATGGGTCCCAACTGACATGTGCACGGCACCCTACTAACCGGTCCCTAACCACGTGCCAAATTTGAGCGCCATCGGTCCAGCCGTTCTCGAGATCTGGAATCGACCCCAGCACGTGCGCACGTGCAGCAGCACCCCAATTCTGGCACATGGATATGCATTGCCTAGTGAGTACCTACCTACATGCCAACTTTCAGCGCAATCGGCCAAGTAGTTACCGAGATATTGCAACAATTACAAAAGTGACACCTCTTCGTTTTGCACGTGGCACGTGCATAAGGGGTCACCCACATGCATCGGGAATAGTCCAATACTTGGTAGAAGGAATGAAGCTACCCTACAAAAATTACCGCGTGTAAATCGGTCAAGTGGTTGCTGAGATATAAGCGTCGCAGAATCGTGACCACGGCCGGCCGGCCGGCCGGCCGGCCGGCCGCTCATACTCACCAGTATAACGCCTTTTGTGGCGACTAACGGAGCGAGCGAGAGGGTGGGCCTTGCACGTGCGAAATTGCGAGGGGGTACCTCCAACTGACTTGTGCACGGCACCTTACTAACCGGTCTCTAGCGATGTGCCAAATTTGAGCACATCGGCCCAGCCGTTCTCGAGATCTGGAAGCGGCACCCTGCACGTGCGCACGTGCAAAATGGGTCCCAACTGACTTGTGCACGGCACCCTACTAACTGCTCCGTAACCGTGTACCAAATTTGAGCGCAATCGGTCCAGCCGTTCTCGAGATCTGGAAACGACCCCTGCACGTGCGCACGTGCAGCAGCACCCCAACTCTGGCACATGGATATGCATTGCCTAGTGGGTGCCTACCTACATGCCAACTCTCCGCGCAATCGGCCCAGTAGTTACCGAGATATTGCAACAATTACAAAAGTGACACCTCTTGGTTTTGCACGTGGCACGTGCATAAGGGGTCACCCACATGCATCGGGAATAGTGCAATACTTGGTACAAGGAATGAAGCTACCCTACAAAAATTACCGCATGTAAATCGGTCAAGTGGTTGCTGAGATATAAGCCTCGCAAAAGCGTGACCACGGCCGGCCGGCCGGCCGGCCGCTCATACTCAGAAATTTCCGTTAATCTAAGGAAAGACTACGCTCGCTTCGCTCGCTCCGTAATAAATTTCCGTTAATCAAAGGAAAGACTACGCTCGCTTCGCTCGCTCCGTAACCACTGTTTCACAAAGATGTTAGAAAAGGATTTTAAAATCGCTAGATCTGCGCAGACGTCACAAATTCAGAGGGGGCATTCATTTCAAATGCATTAGACTCTCTGAATCCAAAGTGCTGCAACTTTGAAACTAAATATCTCCGAATGAAAGCCTTTCTCGATGTTGTAAGTGCCCAAACTGGTAAGTGCAAGCCAGGGACCCTCAACTCGAACTAAAAACTAATGTTAAGGTGGGCTGGTCACTTTAAAATGCACACACTAATACCGAACAGCATTGATCATCAATGCTGCGTCAGCGTTTTTACAAAAGCTAAGCGAACTGCTAGCGCCTAGCGGTGTTCACCTTAGCAGGCTTCTGCGGTACTTCCAACGGTGCTTCTCAACCAGGTAGTAGACCAATCAGTGCGAAGTGTCATGAACTACCACATCTCCAGTAGTCTATGGAAGTGTGGATACTATTTGGTCAGTTTCTATTGCATTTTGTAGATAACATCGCCAGGAAATATAGCCAGGCAGAAAAAGCAGCACCAATTCCCGCAACAATTCAATGAATGGTCACTGATACCAAGCAAAACCATTTTCTTGAAGAAAAAAAAATATCTCTCGTAAAATTATTTTCATCGAATATAAGCCAATGTACAGGTCTCGCGGGTTTTAGCGGCAGGTTTTGCACCTATGAAATTTAGGATACTTCATGTTATATCTTCGTCGTCTTAAGCTTGTAAGTGTTGAAGATGCGATCGATTTGTTTGTTCACAAGCCTGCCATTATCGTATAAAATGGCTTTATCGTAGATTGATTAGTTTCTGAGACATAAGGGGAAATGTAAAAGGGCAAAACCTACCGCTTAATCTCGCGAGAGCCGTACTTGAGTTTCGACATAAGTGTGATGTCAAGAAAAGACATAAATGAGAGAAGATGAGAGCATAGCACTCATAAAACATGTTCACACCCAATCGAAAGGCACCGTCTGTTTATTGGAGCTTTTGGGCGCGCCGACTGCAAAGGTCAATTTGCACCAAAAGAAATGCCCCGTCATTCTGCCCACTTCGAGCGTTCGATATATCAAGTACCTACCGTATTGTATCGCCCTAACATTCCGTTACGCCTAAGAGCCAGCGATCTAGGAATGATCCGCAGCGATCTTTGCCGCCAGTAGCTCCTTAGATCACCGATAGTGTCACCAAAAATAGCGCCAAGGCTCGCCGTATGGGATCATCAGAGCATTCTACTTACCGAAGCCCATGTTGAACATTTTGTCGGCCTCGTCCATGACTAGGTAGGTGACGCGCAGCAGGTTGGTCGCCTTCATCTTGATCATGTCGATCATCCGACCTGGAGACGGTAGTGGGAGGCGTCAGTGGCCGCAGTGACGACCGCGACATCAAAGCGTCACTAAAACACAGAGGAATCTGCAGCTTCCGAACAGTTATACCGTCAAACACGGGAAAGTGGGTGGCTAAAGGGGACTTCGGTACCAAACACTTCTCGATCCCAGGTAGGGAATGAAGACATCTTACAAATATCTGTGAAGCAAAAAATAAGTAATCAAACACCAATCAAACCAAAACACCAAACAAACACCGCTCCTCAAAAATATTTGTAACACAGACATCCCTTACAAACCGGAATCATTCCCCATCAAAGCTTGGAGCTTATATGGTAGACTCTCCGTGCTTTCTAAGCCTAGCAGCTTTCCAGCGCAGAGCACTGGAAGTTCCCCGGTGACCGACCTGGCGTGGCGACGACAATCTCGGCGCCCGCCTCCAGTGCCTTGGACTGCTCCCACTTGGAGCCGCCGCCGTAGCAGCATACCACGTGGATGTTGTACACCTTGCCGAACCGCTTCGCTTCCGAGTAGATCTGAGGGAAAAAGGAAAGGGGTCAGTTCAAGTTCAGAACTAGATGAGTGTGGCATGGGATCAGCACGGTATCACTGCGAGGCAGGACGGGGTCGGCAAGGGGTTGACAGAGATAAATAGGGTCACTTCGTGTCAGCAGATAAAATCCACAGGAAGGTGTGTCTTTTACAATTGTTGCCTTATGTCTTTTGTAGTGTAGCATATCATAAATACAACATTTAACTATTTATAGTCACCGTGCATTTAACTACATTTCGTCACAGATAACACAATCACATTATATTATCTCACCTAAGTTTAATTAAACGTTGCGTCGCAACCCAAACCGAATACATGAAAATAAATGGAGAAGGAACAGGTCCAACTGTCTCGGTAATGCGCGACTCAAGGACGCCAACGATGTATCCTTGACCATTTTTTATCATTTAACTCAGCAACCGTTCGACCGAAATATGTTCATTATATTACAGGCAGTAGCAGGCTAGCATCGTGCATTCTCGCCAAAAAAAAAAAAAACTAAAGCGGTTGATACATTTTAAAAATACCTGTCCATGGTACCAAAGCTCATACAACAGAGAACTCCTAAATTGGCAGCACAGCGAAGATAAAAAAAAATAGATGATTACTGAAAGGAATGCGGGAACCAAAGACCAAGTAAGGTCACATCGGCATCCTGTCCACGTTGAAGGGTCGATGGTTGTGATTCCACTCCATATTTTGGCGCAGTAAAACCCTTGTAACACAACACTCGACAATCAGTTAGTGGCGGTTGGAGTATGAAAGCTCACTCTTCTCACAGCTATCGAGATGGCCGATTTGGGGGGAGTACCGGCAGTGGTCCTATCTGACCGAGCTCACTGTTCTATTTGCTCTAAGTTAACACGGTGTCAAGATACAGGGAAACGGGACTGGCTGAACAATGGAGGTCTTACAACAAGCAGAACGCAAAAAACGACGTTATTTGGCTTCAGATTACTCATAAATGTCTGAAACATGTCAGCAGAATCTGTCAGACTACGAATAACTAAAGATAGCTAGATTGTTCGTGTTGTATGTAGAACAATCACAATCGGAGCTTTGTTGGTGGGACAGCACTCCTTGCTTTTTCCTTTCCTACGTAGCCTAAAAAGCCTACAGCGAGATGATTTATTGGGAGGTATACGGTTTTAACAATGATTTCTGCATACCTATATCACGAAAATCGTACCCTTAGATTACCTAAGGTCATAACTCATGACACAACTCATAAGGTCAGATAAACTGTTATCACAAAAATGGCATATGTGACAGGTATCTGCTCCGCTCAGCAATTGATATGCAAATTATGTTTGATGGGAGTGGTAACACATAATGAAGAATGAATCTCAAATTTTGTCGGTAACCTGAATTCGAAAAAAACGTACCTTTGCAAGCTCATTAATGGGTTTATTGTTTGGCATCTGACTCATAAAATACAATACTTCGATCCACATGCCTACGAGTGTGGTGCCTCAAAGTCACAAAGCATCAATCGCCGCTCGAAGCAGCTCTTTCATCATTTGTTAGCGTCATAGAATATGTTGTGAATGTGATCAACGAACAGTGTTCCGATGACAGGCCATCAAGCCATCGGTGATTGTGTCAATGATAAAGATGACGTAATACAAGATCATGACACATTTGCTGACAGATACCGATAGCTGCTCAATACTGTACATACAGCATCAGTGGGTGTTTCCGTCTGAATCCGTGAATCCGTTTCGTTCGTGCGTGCGTCTTCAGTGACGGGAATGATTTGCCACAAAATATGACCAATTTTCCTGGCAAATCTCCGTCCGAACTCTATCGTCACTCTGAGTTGATCTTTTCTCCACGGCTATCACATTTACGGCTCTTCCCAAATCCCATATGACGGAGCTCCCTGCCGGTTTATGGCTAAATTACTGCCAGGGTCGCGGCCGGTGACATGTTTTGGCGACCGCACTGAGCCCGGCTTCGCACCCGGGTGGCACGGACTCTGATATCGGTACAGGACTGATAGGGACGGGCGCCGCGGCGACCCTGCCCCGACCAGGCCCCGGTCCGTGAATCAGCAGAGTACAGCGTGCTGGGACAAGGGGAAAGAGCGCCAGACCGAGACACGGGGAATAAACCAGTAAAATCTCACGGAAGGGGTTAAGTAGCGTGTCACTAAAACGTTTGTATGTATACGCCAAAAGATTACGCCACGATCCAGCTTCGGCCGTGTCAGCAGCCGTGTTTAGCGTTAATACAGCCTGTGTCCAACTCAGCTGCTTTAGGTAGGTTCATCGCACGAGGTAGAATGCATTTGAGTAAGCGTCATAAATGACCTATCCAAATGGACCACTTCATGCATACTATAGACTTCAAAGACATAGCCGCAGAAACATAACACAAAACATAACTATGACAGATCGATATGACGGGTGGAAAACCTGCCATTGCTACCTTAGAGTTCTGAATCTGAAGTAGCATAATGTTTCAGAAGGATGCAGAGGAAGGATGCGATTCAGTAAGAAAACACGCCTAATGTTTTCCCTCTTAAAACACGTCATCCAATTAACGTCATCCGCTATAACTGACGTCAAAACAAAACGATGACAAAAGCCGGTCAGAGAAAAGCAATATCAGGCACGTCATAGCCTACGCAATACTTCCTTTCAGAGGTACTTAACTGGGAGATCCACAGACCTACGTCACGGATTTGAGCGTACACCAGAAGTCTCGAGTGGTCGGACAACGTGCGAGGGCGTCTGACCTACGATGTCGCTATATGACGCGTCATCTCGCGCCGCTCAATATTATCGGTATACTTAATCTTCATTCGTCATACGCAAGATCTTCAAACGTCTGCGTGGCAGATAAAAACTGTCGAGTGGAGCAATCACGAGACGCTGAAATGACGTGACATAAGTGAGCTTTGATTTGAAGCTCGATGAGAGACTTATGAAACAATTTAGCAATTGAGGATGGCACCCCAATATTAATTTCAGACGCCCTTGCATAAAACACAGCCTCTTGAGGTTTCGAGTTCACACTCAAACTTGTTGCGTAAGTATGTGGTGTCTCCTAGACGTTTGGGCAGCGTTGATACACTACATAACACGGCGGGTCAATGAGATGCCGTGGTGACATACCCTCAATCCTTCATACTATTCTACTATGCAATCTTCTGCCCCAGATCACAGGTGCTTCCACAAAGCCTCATCATACCTAGGTATTTATTGGTTTTCTACGTATGCCCCAGCCGGGGCGGGGGAGGAGACGGTGCGATCCTCATCGCTGTTTCGCTTCTTATTGAACTAGAGCTTCGCGGAAAAACGAGAGTGCTGGTCGTCACGAGACGCAGCGAGTGATTGCCCGATTTCAATGTATCAGGTCCCTGCGAGGTCAGGGAAACTGGAAATGATCAAACGGTCGGGTCTGGGGCCTAGCCTAAAGTAAATAACTTCGGTATGTATGATGACACGGCAATGGCAATGGCATGACACGGCACGGCACCGAGGCAACCGAGCTCATCAAATGAGATGACGCCTGACACTAACCTGTCTGTGAACTGTTGTGAATGGAACAGCCCACTGCCCAATGACAGTTCTATGACTGACTCACTGACTCACCATGACTGGCAGCTGACAGCACCGTGACTGGCCTGCTGTGGCAGCTGAAGCTCCCAAGAACCATTGGTTTCAAAACCAAGCGGTGACAGCTTCACTGAGCTGCTGTGAAAGTTCCAGTGACGTCCTGCTGTGACAATTCCCACTGACCAGAATGGTAACAGTTTTACTGACCTGCTGTGACAGCTCCATGAATAATATCTTGTGACAGCTGACAGCCCCATGACTGCAGACCTACTGTGAGAGCTCCCAAGGACCGCAGGTTTCACTACCAGCGGTGAATGTTACTGACCTGCTGCGACAGTTTTACTGACCTGCTGTGACAGCTCCCTGGTGGGTGCCAGTACCAGACCGATGGGTCCGTCCCCTGGCCTCAGCTCCGGCTGGTCCATGATGTGAACCAGCATCGGCCACAGGAAGGCAGCCGTTTTACCAGAGCCCGTCTTAGCGATACCTGGCGGCGGCGGCGAGAAACAATCAGTAACCCGGTGTAATAGAACGGCATAGCAGTGCTGAGGGAGGGGTGTGTGATGTAAGTAACGCGCTTCGTGATACCTCATCCTATCATTTTGACCACCGGACAAAAACAAACCAATTTTACCTCTGTAGCAGCAAACAACCCAATTGCGCCCGCTAGCCACCGAAATCCAGTATCAGCTTTGAGGCAAACACCTATTCCACCGTTGATCAAATGCAAACACATGCAAAACACTAAGCGAAACCAAGCATTGCTTACCATCACAAATCAATGCTTACCCATTCTGAGCAACACCTAGCTCGGTCATCTTTTCCACACCATACTCAATGGTCAATTTTCCGTCAGACCTTCCCGCCTCTCCCCTACTGGATTGTTTGCTGGCGTACAGGGCAAGTCGACGGCAAGCAACCCTACATAAGTTGAATCACACCACAATCCCCTATAGGCTTATTTATTGGTGTGGGGAATTTCGACGCGGATGAGCTCCTATAAGAGTTAAATACACCCAACCCACTCGCCTACCCATCCCGCCCCTACAGCTTTGTCCGCTAAGGTTTAGGGACCTGTCGAATACGAGCCCCTTACAGAATCGGACCCCATCCGCGGTCGATAGCGTTTCCTGAAAACAACGCGTACCGATGACATCCCTGCCGCCGAGCGCAACAGGCACCGCCTGGCTCTGGATCGGAGTGGGCTGGGTGTACTCCATCTTCCTGATCGCTTTCATCAGACTCTCGTCGAAGCCGAAATGGGCGAACGATGTGACCGGTCGCGCCGGCAGGGGGCCAGACACCTGCCGGATGGACGCGCTGTCGTCAGTGGTAAAAACGATTGTATGAGGGGTGGGACAACGGACGTAATAGACACAGAATGATGGCGACATTGCGTAATACCTACATGGTTTATAGTGGGAGAGCCTGTGGGTGTATGCAGTGCGAAGACTATGGGCGACACACCATGTCGCCGCCGACAAGAACGATCTCCCATTATGTCTCGTGAGAATTAAAACATGTTTTGCTTACATCGACAAGGAAACCCCATCATTGCCTCATTCTAGCTCGGCAGAGGCGGAAACAACCACTCCCCTCCCTGACCTCCGGCTATGCCCGCCTGTCACTCGCCGCCCATGGCTCCCACTCTCGATTCGCGGCTGACGATCTCACCTTGATCCCCAGTTTGTGCCTGAGCTGGTCGATTTCCAGCAAGGACAGGGCGCCGATGTCATCCGGCTCGATGTAGAAGTTCTTGACAAAGTCCTCGTACTTGAGTTGAGTATGGTCGATCGGAGGCAGCGGGTCGATGTACTGCAAACGAGAGGGAAAAAAGAGACGGAACAGGAAAGGTGTCAGAAAACTGATCTCAGTAGAGGGATGAATTAACATATGACGAAAAACGACAAACGAGCCCAGCAGCTACTGGAAAGAATCTAGCAAGTTCATCGAATCAAAAGAGGTCAAGTGTTCGAGGCTCGAAGTTCGAAGCTCGAAGTTCGAGATCAGCTATGTTCATTGTTCAGATCGAGATCAGTTTCACAGATCAGCTGTGTCGCTATTCATTAACTGCTAAATCAAGACAGCCTTTCCTCAAAACACTTGACAATGCACCTACACATCCCACCTTGACCCTAAGCACCTACCTTGGATTTGACGGGCACGATGGGGTTGCCCTCTGCGTCGTACTCAATCTCCTGGTCCGATTCGTCGTTGTGGGTGCCCGCGTTCGGGTTCTCCTCCATGTACCTGCAGGTGGCGCGTCAAGTTCAGAATAGAGGACGCTACTGTAAGCTCAGCTCGAGCCTCTAGTGGAACAGCCAGCAGTAGAGGTAAGGAGGACAATGAAATGGGCACTCTCCGAACCTGGAAATGTTTTGTGCCGATCGTACTGAAGTTGTCATCACTCATCACATACCCACAAACGTTGAGCAGAGAATGCAAACGTGCACTTTCCAGACGCCTTACAGGGTCAGACGCACCAGAGAGCCCTTGTTTCCTCCCTAATACGGTCATCCCCATGCATTGACACATGTAACCTTATTTCATAATATCTAACTAGTCATGTCACTACATAATTTCAGCCCCTTCGTAAGACTACGGAGAAAGGGTATCACCGACCTGAAGAACGACTCGTGGTCGTCTTCTCCTTCGATGTCGTCTCGGACCCCCTTCGCCGGCGGTTTCTTGGCACTTGCCTTTCCGCCTTTGCCTTTACCGGCCTGTGGGCGGGGGACGATACTGTCATAGCGCAGTAAAATACAGCGAGAAACGGAATGAGACCGGTAGCTGTGAATGCAGCCGCTAGCTAGCATGCACTAGACATTGCCGCCCTGAAATGAGTTATGCGCAAAATGCAGCGTTTCGGATGACGAATCGTGCCGCAAAACTGAGACACTTAAGCACTAAGTAGTGTGATTGGGCTTTTTTGGCAAAGCTGAGATGTCTTCACAGAAGTCGTGAGCTGTTCCTGGCATACTTTCCTTACATAGCTTTCCTGGCATAATTCAAAATGTGCAAACCAATCATCGATAGATGAGACAAAAATATCCTGAGGCAAAGACTCATTAATCTAGCCAGTTTCAAACCAGTCTTATCATCAACCCGTCGTCCATCTCCACACGCCTTACCCACCCATCCCACCTTCCCCCTCTCCCTTGCTCTCATCTCCCTTCTCCCGCACCTGCTGATCTATTGACGCCATGAACGCATCTAGCGTGTCCTCCTCCGAATCCGAGTCGTCCTTGGCAGCGGAGGCGGACCCGCCTCCCACCCGCCTCCGGTCAGAGGCGGAGGGGCTGCCCGGCGCCGGGATGTACGCCATGCCGGCGCTCGACTGGCCCTCCTCACCCTCGCCGTCAGAGTCGAAATATCTGCCGGGGGAGGAGAGGGGTGAAACACTGGGAGTGGGACGGGTGAAATACATTGAATGGTGTGCTGCAGTGCAGTGGTAGGATGAAGTGCTGTGAGTGGGTGTAGTTATAAATTATCTTGTAGCATTGTGGATAATGTAGATGATGTCTTGGCAAGATATGACGACGGTGGTTATAAATATGGAAGTAGCTGATCTGTGCAATCAAGCAATCAAAATAGGTAACCAGATACCAGAGAGGATAAATTGCTCAAGTCACCACACTTTATCACTTACAGATAGGTATCACATGCAGTCACGCCTACCACTAAGAGCATACCCCGGGGACGGGTCTAATCTCACAAACAAATTCTACTATTGTCACGCATAAACAGGAACGAGCTACATTCCTCGTACACATTTCTTATTAACGCATCCAAAAACAATTATCTGAACACACAAGAAAACGATTCTCATATCAACTCCTAATTACGACTCATGAGAGAAAAAGGAAAAAAGAAAGACAGAAAGAAAGGAATATGGAAAGTAGGCAAGAGGAAAACAGAAGCTTGAGCCGCTAGGCATCCCAGCACCCCACCTCGCCCATTCCTCCGTCCCCGTTACTCACTCCTCCTCGGTGCGTATTTTGCGTTTGGGCGCGTTGAAGTTGTAGGTGGCCAGCGCGCCGCTGGCAATGGATGACATGGTGCTGTAGCCATGCTTGCTCTTCTGGGCGCCCGGCGGCGGTGGCTGGACGGCCGCCGGTCGCGCAGGAGCCGAGGAGTAGTTGTAGTTGTAGTTACGGCCGTACGCTCCAGGCTTGTAGTTACTCATGGTGAGCGAACTCTGTTTAGTCTGTCTCACTCTGTCAAAAGATATACATGTTGTTGATGAATGAAAAAGTCAGAGAATAAGCAGAGCTTGATGTGTAGGCACTTATCTTCACCATCTGATCGGTATAACATGCCATAACGGTATTTGTGGCACCATATTAACGGTATAACGTGCCGGTACTTGTGGATCGCGTGCAGTTATCGTAGAGAAAAGGCTTCCATTTTCCACTAGGAATTAACATGATTAGATTAAATTTGGCAGATTCACTCAAAAATGGCGATAGGAAAACGGCTTTTCTGCAGGTTCTGGGAGTCAATATCAGCTGGAAATTCAATAAATGGATTGGTGTTTTGAAAGAAAATTGTTAAAAGATTTAATTTAATCACAATACACAAAGATATTTCATTTTAAAATAATAACTTAACCATAAATAGAAAAACCATCAACAAAATAATAAAAATAATGACATTTTAAAACCCGGTGCTGCTTACATTTTTTGGCGCATCTGTTTCAATCCGCCGTATTTGCCAATTACCGTTTGACCTTGGCCCTGTTTCACAGCGGAGCGCTGCAGTGCGCTGCGCGCGTCGGCGCGTTGGGTTTCCATGGCAATATCAACAAACTTCCCTCTGACGCTACGCTATGACGTCATCGCAAAACGCTAGCACCCAAGCGCCAGCACCATCAGCACGCTAGCAGCATTCGCACTCAAACCTCTGTTCTCTCTGTACTTGGTTCTTTAGGACCTCTGTTCCAAACGCGATTCATCATAAGCTAACGGATCGCACGCAACGTCATTCGAGTGACGTCAGGGGTACGCCTCAGCTCCCAGCGCGCTGCAGCGCGCGCAGCGTCGGGCGGTGAAACAGGGCCCTGGTATTGTAACTATGCGATTTAGAGCCGCCAGTGCAACGTGCACCGAGTGAGTGTAGGCCTTGTGTGGTCAAAAAACATCTTATGCCTTATTTTTTTATTTGAATGCTAGGATGCATGGAAAAGATGTGTTCTGATTTTATGACCATATATCAGTCGGTGACACACCAGGGAAATAAGCTAAAATTAGAGCGCTCTATTTATTGCTTCCGCTACTTCACCGTCTCCCATAGGGTCCTGTGTTGAGCTGGTGTCGAGGCTCTAAAAATGACGCCGATTTTTGCACCCTTCTCACGAAAACCGCTCGGACCGCCTGGAAACTAATTGTTCCGCTCTAAAAATTTCATGATCGATGGGAAAATGAACGAGGAAAAGATTGGTCTTGAAATAATTCTAAACTCCCTGTAGAACATATCGAAATATGGCTGCAAACTAGGAGCATGTCAAAATCGACAAAACAATACAAATAAACTTACCGGGATTTTTTATTTTCCATGCATCTGTGTATGAAATCAGTCGCTTTTTCGGAAAGATCATCTTCTGTTTAATAAATTATTTCACAATTGCAATCGAGAAAAAAAAAACATTTCTGCTGTGACAGCAGTTTTGGCATTGTGCCAGTTGTGTGGCGTGCGCGGTGCTGCGTGGTCGTTGGGACGGAGTTGTGAGTATTTTCGGTGTTTTAAATGGTTGATGGCCATTTGAACCAGCTTTATATTATTTCCTACCAATTTTTGCATCAAATTATTGCTTTGAAAGACCATTGAAACCCCTTATCTCTTCATGAAACACGATCATATTCATCGTCGACGAAAATGGCGCGGGACTCCATGTGCGTTTCGATCGAAATAAATCGTAAATTAAATAATATTCGATGATAAGTATCATATTCTAGTGACACATTTTCATGAAATAAGGCATAAACTTTGCAAGGAAGTCAACATTGGATAATTGGATTCTTATTTTGCTCACATATCCTTGTAGTAGTCAAATGGCTCAATTGTTAGATAAATGTAAGTATGTTTTGGCTTGATGTTTGCTGTGAAACCACCCAACCACTTGCTGGTTGAGTGGTTTTCTGATAATTACCTGATAATCATTTCTCCTTTTCCTTAAAAGAAACTAAAATTATTTTCAAAGTAACCCATTTTTAGGAAAGGCGGCTTGCTCATTGACATTTCATGTTCTTGTTTTGTTATTGCTGGCAGTATTTTGATACAATAATGCATAGATAACATGAATCTGGATTGGACACGAACTCTGATAAATGCAGAATGGGGCCGAAAATTTATCAGTAGGATCCTTAGTTTGTTGTCCGCGCGATCGAGCTGCTAAAATTCACCATAGCCTGCATTGGACGATGCCAATTTAGACATTTGAAGCTGTTATATTTGGCAAAATATTGAATCAGAGTACCTATAAGTATTTATGTTTTACTCTTATTTGTAATCAGAATCGATTCAACATATTTTTCAATTCATGTAGTGATTAAGCCTGAGGCATTTGTGTTTCGTTTACAATTTACGCTTGTTAGCTTATGGCTTTCATTACAAAAGGAAACACGGAAAAGAAATGGTGACTGGAGAGCCCTTCAAGCAGCAAAGCAAGGAATAAGAAGCGCTACAACGGAGAAGACGAACAACAAGCGACAAGCGTGTTTTTCCCGACAAAAAAAAAACAGACTCCAATCTGATGATAACCCTACCACACAGGGTTGACCTCAAACAGGAGCATTTCGGGGCATCCAAGTTGCATAGCCCGACTTTAAATGTTTGCGCTCTTCTCGTACAAGAGAGGAGCTGCAGTGCCCTCGGCTTCAGTGCTGAAAATCTCGTCTCTTCGGAAGGGCCACAGCCACACCAAAATGCATAATGCTCACATAATCGTAGCCAAGCGTCCACTCTCATGGTGCCCAGCTCAGGCCGTCAATTTGAGGAAGACTTGCTTTGGTATAGTAACTATACTTTCAAACGAATGTTAACAATTTTAAGAAAAGTGATGGAATTTTGGCGCCGTGGAATTGGATACAGTACGGATCAGCGATCCGAGGCACCATGGGTCGTCAGCACTGCAAGTTTACCGATACAGCTACAGGGATCCTGGAACCATAGTAACATCAAGACGCCTTTTGGGGCAACAAGCGAGCGAGCGCCAGAGTAAGCCATGTACAGTAGGCTTTTGCGCTTTGCGGTCGGCGAGATACAGACTCAGACGCACGCTTATAGGCACTGGTATAAACGGCTCTAGCCCTAGAGAACACCCGTTAACTACTCTAAAATGGCTCACGTCGGGTGAACTTACCCACTACGCCAGAAGAACGTCGAAGCTGCTAGACCTTCCGGCTTCCAACGGCTACTAGACGCTAGGAGCCTACAATCACTGCATCGGACTGTAGAAAGACGACGCGTGCCTGGAGTGCGAGGAATCGGACGAGGGAAGACCGTCACCCATTGGCTGGTCGGCTGCTCAGTTGCCCGCCCAGTGGCATCGAGAAAGAGGATCGTTTATACGATTGAGACTATTCAACCGTAGATGTAATCTGAACCCGAAGTGAACAGTTTCGTGGAGTGGTTAGGGCGGCTGGGACGCCCGTATGGTGGTAAGGTAGGAAGCCCAAGGACGGAAAACAAACTGCTCATTGCTCCTTCGACATGTAGCATGAACCAAAGGCAACTGTTCTCTAAACAGTCTTCTGCCTGAACGACCTCCAGTCCGCCCTCGCCGCCTCTCTCCGCAACAGCTCAGCCGTCCAGAGCTCCCTGCTGAACTGGAGGATTCTCCGAGGACTGTCAGCCAGCCACCTCAGCGCCCAGCGGGTGCCCTCGCGCTGCGGCCTGGAGTGCAATGTGAGACAGTGAGAGTCGTATCATTGCCAGGAAAACGAGCGATGTTGACCAGAATCGAGTCCCGGTGGACCTCTAGACGGCCCACGGAGACGCAGCCGCACAAGAGGGCCCGCACCATCCAGGCATGGCTGGTCGGAAGGCGCAGCTGATGGGATCACTGCTACCACTAGCTAGCACTGACGGCGACAGGACGGTTCCTGCGGTGGACGTCCAGTGTCCACCAACTAACTCCGAACCGGTCAGTGGTGGAGTGCGAGCAGTGCAACGACCGCCACTGCAGAGCAGCGCCCGGTCCCGTCTGTCGGGAAAAAAAATCAAGTCCACCTGCGTTGCCCGGCGCTGCTATGCACGTACTCGATGTGTCCCAGCCTGGAGAAGGCGGAAAACGGCGAGCGTACCCTTTCAGGCGTGAGACGAACATGCTCATTAGTCATTATGTTTTATGTTGTCTGCTTATTTCGCCCTCTCTCCACTCGTTGTAGCGTCTTGTGACCATTGCATATCTGATGAACCACTTGTAAATGTTGCAATATACGGCTCTAATAAAACACGTTTTTAGATTTATTTTTAAAGAAATATAAGCAAAAAACATCAAAATGTCGAAAAAAGTTATTGCCATTCAAGTGGTAGACAAAACGAGATGGTTTTCACAGAAAAACAGTCGATTTCCCATTCCAAAAATTTCGGCCCCATTCTGCATCAGGCTGATTTCGTGTCCAATCCAGATTCATGTTATCTATGAATAATGCAATATGAATTTTTTGCAATAATAAAACCTAAGACAAACTTAGTTAATGCGTCAATCAAACACCCAACAGAAAGATTGTGGGTCCTTGTGACGTGAAGTAGAATATTCTATGAATGTTTTATAGAATATGCCAAATTTTAAATTAATTTATTATTTGATACTGATAGCTGAGCATGTGAATTATGCCACAATATAATTTCATTTTCTGGTTTTGAAATAGCCGGCAGTATTTTACTTCAACAAATGTAATATACATGGAATACATGTTGTTATGTTATGTTAAAAGTTTAATAACAGCCAACAGAAGGGGCTGTTTCAGCAGATAATGTTTGTACCTTATGCATTACCTTTCTTTTCTGCAGGACCATGCTTCCGCTGGGTGGTCGACATTTGCCTCCTGAAGAAGTTGAGCAACATGAAGACCACCAGATGAGGTGTCTGCAGTTCATGTGGAACTCTGCAGACTACAAGTGTTATGCCAACCACAACCAAAGTGCCGTGATCATGGAGGCATGAACCTCATGACAACACTTCAGATTTGCAGTGGTACCAAAGTGTGATTCAAACCACCTGTGGCATCTCACTCAATGCGTGAACAGTGTGATCATTGTGCAGTGTTCAGCTGCAACTAAGACATTTATTAGTGACTTGTTTTGCAATTAGCCACCAAAAACATTTTTTGGGCTGGCTGCTGTAATTTGTTGTGCACTGCGCAATAATGGTAGTGTTTTGTCACTTGTCAAGTTGTCAGTTGTGCATGTTGCATGTTTCTCTCCCCTCGGCCCTCATTATCAGTTAAGTGGTGAACTGGCATCACTCAGTCTCCCCAGATCTCCATTGACTGTCTGTCAACCACCTAACTTGAGATGGTATTTGCTAATAGTGTCAGAAAAGAAGTGATTGTAGACATTTTTAGGAATATGAGCTCCGTTTC